TATGTCCTGAAGGTCTGATCATTGTTCTTTATTTGACACAGACAGACTAATATCTAAATAAACACACTGAGCTTTTCGTCCTCTGGCACTGATTGACTCTTTCATCTAGTTAAAGCCGTAGATCCTCTGGTAAATCCAGGCCAGAGCCGGGGGGTGGGGGGGAGTTTGTGTCACTAATTTACATTGCAGTGCATCTGATCAAGAAGAACACATGAGAAGCTTTTTGGGTAATTTGCTATGGGTAGGAGGTTCATGGCTGTGGTTGGTGGAGGGCTATGGTCTGATTTGTAGATGGAGTTCAATAAGTTCGAAGACACTCAACCCTGTATTTACATGTTTTATCTTGTAAAACTCTTCCTTTTTAGCCTCACCAAAGATTGACAACTACCCCCTGCATTTAAAAAAAGTGTTTTTTGGGTTATAGGAATCCTGGACTCCTCCCCCCTGCATTTGCCAGGACGACACATGTTGAACGCCGGCCTGATGGCAGCGGCGATGGGAGGCATGGTGCCCTTCATGCTCAGTACCAGCTATGGTACTGGCATGGGCTGTCTAGTAGGAGTGTCCGGGCTTTCCACTATTATGGTGAGTCTCAATACTCCACTAAGCCGAGAGCATGTAAAGCAATAATATAATAAAATGACTAATGTATTGAAAAGTTTATTTCAGTAAAAATGTACATCATCAAATTATTCCAATGAAGTGATGTTTTTCCTATCTTTGAATATGCTGGAATGTAACGCAATCTCTCTTTTAAACATATTGATTAAATAATATGTGTATTGAGAGCAGATGTCGGTACCTGATCAGTGACTCTGGAAGTAAGTAAACATTTCCTGATGATGAAATACTTGATAGGCGAGGATATAAATCCTTAAACTGTTGTTGCTGATTCCGATGAACCCTTTTGAATATTGCTGCATATCAAACGAGTGTTTTGTTATTGGCTTTAGTGGATTTTGACTAGCTCCTTGTTTTAATTCTACAAAACTATCTTCCCAACAGGGTGTCACCCTGACGGCAGCCATCGGGGGTGCTGACATGCCTGTGGTCATCACCGTGTTGAACAGCTACTCTGGATGGGCGCTCTGTGCTGAAGGCTTCCTGCTGGACAACAATCTGATGACGATCGTGGGCGCTCTGATTGGCTCCTCCGGTGCCATCCTCTCCTACATCATGTGTGTGGTGAGTAGACGCACATGTATCCAGTCACATGTGTGAACCTGCACAGTTACCTGAGCTTAGTGTCCTCTTCTCTCCTAAGGCTATGAACCGCTCCCTGCCCAATGTGATCCTGGGTGGGTACGGCACCACCTCCACCGCGGGGGGGAAGCCAATGGAGATTGTTGGCACTCACACTGAGATCAACCTGGACCAGACCATTGAAATAGTGAAAGAAGCCAGCAGCATCATCATCACACCAGGTACACACAGTACACACAACACAAGACGTTGGTGAGTTCACTGGGTGATTATAATGAATTTTGTGGCTACAATTTACATATTGGCTCACCTGCTAAGGGGGGGGGGGGGGGGGGGGGGGGGGGGGGGGGAAGCTAAAACAAAAACAAATTATATCTGCCAATATAAAGGATATATTTTTATAGGAGCCAGTGAACATGAAAAGAACATGTATGAATTATTGGCATCCCTGCATGTCTGTCAAAGGTAGAAAAAGAAAGGTGGCAAAAACAATGAACCAGAGCTATCAGAGAGCCAGTATACCCATGATTCAACTTGAATTAAATAGTCAAATGTACAGATTAAAATCTTATCCTCCAGCCCAAAGTGGAGACACTGCTGAAAAAGACCAGAGCCCTTTAGGAGAGATAGGTTTATAACAAGGTTTTGGGTTGAGATCAGAGACTAAGACTTTAAACCAGATTCTCTCGTGGATCCTCCTGTGCGCTCCAACTGCAGCTTTTCAGGCTGTCTGAATCAATAACCTCAACCATCACTTTCATTGGATTAATTTCATATGACAAAAAAAGGATCAAAACTGTTTTCGCAGCACATTTTGAAAGACTAGAAGAAATCACAAGGCTATAGAAAATGTCCGGGATCTAATACGGCAGTAATTAATTAAACTCAGAACATACATATTGAATCAGGGTAACCACAAGAGGGAGCAGTTTGCCCACAAATGATCCTGCAGCCACCTGGACCTGAGTGTCAGTATATGTTTATCATCAAATGGTAAAGTATGATACATTTGATTTTTTGGTGTTAGATGGGAACCATATCCTGATTTATTAAACAGACAAAGCCAGACTTGTATGACAACTGAGTTGTTGTCAACTGGCCTCATCAAGAGGAACCACTCGGGGAAAAAATTGAATACTTGGATTGCTGTTGTTTTCAAGTGGCTCCAAACCAATGCAAGGACAGATGTGTGGTCCAACATGTTGGTTCGATTACAGAAACAGTGAAAAGTCATAAGAGCTATTGATTCCAGACTCAAGATTTCTCCATGCGCTGTCAACAACAAAGCACGGCAGTGAGGAAACAGAAGGCTCCGGTTGTCTGGGGAATTAGAAGATACGGGTTACGGGCCACTCGCTTCAAAACACTTGATTAAGGGTAATGCTGAACTCTACAAGGTACCTGACCACCAGGGTTACACAGAGGTTAGGTAGACCCAGGGAAAGAAGTTCTTTGCACGCAGGGGACCAAAAGCCACACCACACATGAGAATGGTTTCAGAAGAAAATGTCTCTCAGACTATTGAACCGCTATGATTAAACACAGAGAGGAGATGGTAGATGAGGACAGGGCGAAGGGGACAAAGGAAAGAATGAAGCGTAGAGGAATCATAGGGTTTATTGTTAGTGAATCCCTACTGTTCTTTCATTTAAAAAGGGTCATTTATTACAATGGGGCCATAAACAAAATGCAAATCCAGAATAAGAAATGCTATTGGATAATTGGCTCCATCAACAAGGTAAATGGAAGATTAGATTAGAATTACATTTGTGTATGCTATTGCATCTTAACTCTCTGTATGTTGTTTCCTGTCTGTTCTTAGGTTGGGGTCTGTGTGCAGCAAAGGCCCAGTACCCGATTGCAGACCTGGTGAAGATGCTGAAGGAACAGGGCAAGCGTGTCAGGTGAACATCTGCACCCATGATCATCTTTATATACAAAATGACTGCCAATGCTTCCCTTTGGTGGCTTTGCCCTGATAGAGATTTTATAAATTATTTTTACGAGCCAAAAACAAACTCCCTACCAACACCAGAAATGTGTATTTGCAGAATTTCCTGTTTGCAGTGGAAAAGTACTTTTCAAAGTTTACTACACAGTACTAACATAAAGTAAAAGGAGACAAGCTACCCATTTTATCACATTTACTATGTTCAGATTTGGCTTGATTATTTTAATATGACCAAACCTTATTCTTATATTCCACCAAATTTCAGAGAGAAATATTGTACTTTTCACCTACTTTATGTTGCAACTATAAATCATTTTTCATCACACTACCCAAAAATATATAAAGTAGTCAATAGTAGCTTTCCCTTTACCTGGCTAGATGATAAACATGCTACTTACTGTCTGGATCAGTAATAATCATTACAATACTTTCTTCAGTGAAATATCTTAATACAACACCACTGAATTAATAGTACAAATCTATCAATAAGTGTTGATGAGAAGTATAACTTGCTTCCATCTCGGACAGGTTTGGTATCCATCCCGTAGCCGGCCGTATGCCAGGCCAGCTGAACGTCCTCTTGGCTGAGGCTGGGGTTCCCTACGATGTGGTGCTGGAGATGGATGAGATCAATGACGACTTCGCAGGTACACTTTAGTTTTTTTTTACAGAGAGCTCCACATGATTGAGAATATTACGACATGAATTGTGTTAAAATAATCTCATCCTCCTTTCATTTGCACATGGAGCAGCCTTGTGTTGCTTCTTGATTTTTAGACATGTCATGTTATCAGGGCAACAGTCTTGTTTTCTTAGCAACCAGGCATGCAGTGTGAGACACATGGTTCTGTTTATGATAAGTGTGGTGCTGGGAAACCTAGTGACATTAGTGAGGACAAACGCGGAGCATTACTCAAGCATTTTTTCCATATATGTGTAAACGTCTGTGGCCCACAGAGACGGACTTGACACTTGTCATCGGAGCCAATGACACCGTGAACTCTGCAGCACAAGAAGATCCCAACTCCATAATTGCTGGAATGCCAGTTCTGGAGGTGTGGAAGTCCAAACAGGTTGGTCAACTTTTGATATGTATTGCAGTCCCAACATTATAACTGCACTTTTTTTCTGTGAATGTAAAAGTGACCATATCCACTCAAACTTTACTCCAGGTGATAGTGATGAAGCGTACCTTGGGCGTGGGCTACGCCGCAGTAGATAACCCCATCTTCTACAAGCCCAACACATCAATGTTACTGGGAGATGCCAAGAAGACGTGTGACAGCCTGCAAGCGAAGATCAGAGAGGCCTACTACTAAAGACCCCCCCATTAGCTTAGCATTATGGACAGTAGCTATCAAGTACAGAGACAGGTTGACAGATTCTCACTATAAGCTTTCAGGATATATATTTATGGATTTATGCAACAAATGTGATTTTATTACAAAGATAGCTAAATTCATAAGATGATTTTTTGAAAAATAAGGGACATAAATAACTCCGATTAACTACTGATTTGTAAATAAATAGTATTCAAATGTTTCTGATGTCAATTTCCTTGCCCATTACATTCTATATTTGAGTAGGGAACCAAACTCGCTTTAACTTTGATGGATTAAGGTGGAAGAGCATTACTTTTAGTTTTTATATCTCACACACAAGTGTCAAAAGCAAACTTCTGAATACATTTCCATGTTGAATTAAAGAATAGATCAAGACATAGCTTTTTCCCACCGGTTTATAAAATACCCTAAATTATGTGGATTTTATAGTTTACTATAATCCAGTTTATTGCAACTGCTATTTGTATTGATTTACTCATGTAGCAAACACACCACATTCATGCTTGGCAATTGTAATCTTTTTGTGTTTTATTGCATATTCTTAAGCAAATCATATTTACAAAACAAAATATCACTCGGCAATAAATAAAACAAATCACAAATGAGCTTGCAGGTAAATCTACTTCTCAGCTACAGATCCTAAGTCTCTTTAAACTGCTTTCTCCTCTTTCTCGTTTTCCAGCTGATCTTTCTTTTCTTGTTTTGATTTGTTGACAACTGAGTGTAGGTACGAGTAGAAAAAGAGAAGGTTATCATATTCTCCATTGTACTCCTGAGCAAGGCAATGCTTGTGGAAGTCCTTGAGAAAATAATAAATCGCCTCGATAGTAGCTAGGTAGGTGTCTGGTTTGCCCCTCTGACTCCGCCAGAAACACGTTTTCCTCGTCTTCAGTTCCACCCGGAGGATACCTGGAGGAGAACACATGTCAGTCAGAGTGCACACGCGAACACAGAGTGAGATCATGTTAAACAGCGATGTGGGTGAAGTGCATTTGCCCCTAATAATCACCAGCAGTCAGAGCTATTTAAAAAGCTGCACGATACAATCTGCCATGATTACCTTGCAGTCTCTCATCTGTGCTGATCTTGTTGGTCTGGTTCCATGTGCTGTCAATGAAGACCACCCTCTGTAAGGGATACGCCCTGGACTCCAAGCCCTTTGATTCATCTGGGGTCCCTGACCCTGGGCTGTCAGCAGTGTCCGTGGCCCCTGTCACTTCCTCTCTTTTCAGCCTCTTTATACAGGGTTCACCAGAGGGGCCGTGTGACCTGCTGTCGGTCATGTCGTGCAAACACTGGATCATGTCAAGAACCGAGACAGCCCCTGGACCCGGGAACACCAACACCACCTAGAGAGGCAGAGGGACAACACAGATTCAGAGTAGAACATTGTCGTACACACCAAGACTGGATATGTCCTTTCTTCAATTTGATTATTTATACATGCCGATATTTAGAAGCACTGAGATAATATAACACAGGGTTGAACGCAGCAAATGAAAAGTGAAAGACGGAGATAATTAAATTGACTGAAACGGAGACATTTCAGTTGAAAGCTATCTATTACAAAAAGCACACAAGGCGTGTGCACTAAAGCTTTGGTAATTCTGTATGTGATGGTATTTATTATGATTACATAAAAAATGTAATGTTAATTAAAAGATAAATAAAGGTGCACTGACAGAGGAGTTTTCCCAAATGGGTACAAGAAGGAAATGAAGCAGCAAAAACATGAAGACAATGAAGAGCAATGGAACTGAAATAATGGGTTCATAGATTCATTCATAAAAAAAAAAGAACCTGCAATTTTTTTGATAACTTAATAAATGGTTATATTTTATAAAAACAATTTTAACTATTTCTTAGTTCAAACAACATAATTATGATAATTGCTTGTCTTTAATAAATTGAATAACTGGGTTTTTAACTTTGAGCGGACATAAGACATTTGAAGACGTCTTCACATTGATTTTGAAAATGTAACTAATTTAACTTTTTCTTATACCATATAATCAACATTCTTTCAGGATGCAGAACAACTAACCTTGTTCTTCTCGTAGTCAGGTATGCAGGGGTAAGTGTATATGTTGACGTCGCTGGGTGCGAGGATCTTGGCATGGATTGCAGTGCTCTTTCCATCCGTCTCATTGGGATGCTTGATGATGTCTATCTTCACAGGAAGCTGAGCAACACATACAATATTAAGAGTTGCGTCCAGAAGACAGTTACAGTTCAACCACCCCATTTGTACAATTTCAAACACATAGTACTGCTAAATTACAGCAACTCTCTCAAAAGAACAATCAAGAGAGTCCTGACCTCTAACTGACCTTGATCACAGGGATTTCTTGATGGCTGACACCCAGTAATGAGCAGCATGTGTAGCAGAAGAACATCCTTGATCCTCCACATTTAGAGCATATTAATCTGCCCCTCTCCTTCGCCTTCTCCAGCACCGCATGTGATGCCAATTTTAGACCTTGGAGAGGCTCCTTGGCTAGCTCACGGGTGTCTGATGAATCACTGGAGACTGTTGTTTTGTCAGGGCAACTAGGATGGAGATGCTGGTGTTGAGCCAGGCTGCTCATGCTTGCTCTTAAAATGTTGACAGACCAGTGCTGAAGTACGTGGGCCCTACGGCTGGAAAAAGAATGACAAACAAATCAAGCAAATATTGGAGGACAGAAATGAATCAACATTTACAGAACTTTAAATGATATGGGCCCAATAATGCGGAAAAGCCATTAACAAGCTAGGGATTGCTATTCAAAAATAGTCCATGAGTTTTTTCCCCAGAAAATCTTAATCCTGTTGGAAGACATTGTATACATTAGTATATTAATAATATTTTAATGATTATCGACCATCATACTATGATTTATATGTATTATGATTGCTTTTTTTAATCCGTTAGTGATTATATAAATTATAATTGAATGTTCTTCTCCGTTTTTTTTAAGTAACTTCATATAAAATATGTGGACTTTATTATTATTTGTTCTATTAGTAGTGGTAGTTTTAATTAATATTCTGAATTTATTTGACTGTTTATCATACTGACAAATCCACAATAACAAAAGTATTTTCTTTCCAGACATTACATATTCCTAGTTTAAACATTGAATCAGACATATTTACCCTTTCAAATACTGGCACGTTATGAGTCATTGTGGCAAAAATCTAGATACGGAATTTTGTCACAGAAAGTGCATTAAATTAATAGCATTAAACCAGATTCGTTTTAGTCCACACTACAAGACTTTTACAACTTGAAAAATAGTGTGGAAAAATGGTTGTAACCTGAGAGCAGAAGCGGTGTAAATGGTTGTTACGCGATTTAGCCACAAACACAAGTAGCTTAACAACGGTGCACACAACTCTGTGAGAGTTCGTTAGCACAACAAGCTAACATTACATACTTTCTTCCTCTATAGCTCTGTGTCATCTGACGATAGACTAACCACGTACAGTACATCTGCCCTGGATTACACACTGTAGATTAGCTAACGTTACAGTACTCTCAACATTACCTGGTTAACTGGAGTGAAGCCATATTATTTTTAGCAAACTCAGCATGTTTAGCTCCGTGCTGCTAGCAGACAAAAAGCATACAGTGGCTAGGTAGGTTCACTTATACCAAATACATACAAAGATACGTTTGTGTTTTTAAATTGAGTTGTAAGCAATACATTGTCCACTCACTAGTCAATCTCGATAAACACGTGTCAACCGGTATGCATGATGTAGAACCATAACATTTTATCCATGTGTTTCAAACTCAACCGGGGTCATGGATGTTTAAAGCGGACTGGACACAGCGTCGCAGGCGGGACCGGGGCACCGTTCAGTCCTATGAGGGTTGCTCAGTAGCGTATGAAGCCAAAATAGAGCACATGTAGATTCAGAAAGTACCCGGATCATCCGGGGCCTTTTGTTTACAGAGCATGCGCACTGGATTCTACCGTAAGCCCCGCCTCCGATCTCCCGCTCTCGGCTCAGTCATCAGTTTTTATCGAATTTTACAATTGTTAAACCCTCGTGATTTAAAAAGGGCTATACAAGTGTTTGTGCTGGGTAGTTTATTTACCTCAAAAAACACTTCTACGTTGATTGTCAGACGTCTCGTTCCCTAACTAAGTCAATGAGAAAAAGTATTTCTGGGCCAAAATGATGTGACTGAAGTTGTAGTACCACCGTTTGGACATTCCAAAAATCAGCTTCGATGCTGGTACATTCGACGAGGTAAGCGTCTTCTTCTACCCGGACATACTGTCCCGTATAAAGGACATTGTACTTTTGTTATTGTTCTCAGGACCGGCCCTAGACATTTTGCATGTCCCCCCCCCCCCCCCCCCCCTCCATGCAATACACAATAGAATATATAAAGAATAAATGAAAAATCTCTACAAAAGACCAATACACTGTAAAAACTGAAACGTATTGACATGTTGGTTAAATACATAAAGAAGGTTTCAAATATATTCATTATTGTATGAACATGTTTTAATTGGGAGGTGGAGGTCACATCCTCTGGGGGGGTCTGGGGGTATGTCACCCCGGAAAGATTTTTTTTAACATTTTAAAGTAAAATGCTTCAATCTGGTGCACTTAGAGCAGAATTACTAGAGACTAGATATAGGGGGCACAACTCTAAAACACCCATATGAAAAAGATCGGTTTACATTTTAACAATCAAATAAGTATGTGAACATAACCAATAACCCATAGCCAATAACAAAATAAATGTAAAGTATTTTATTTGTGTTGTTCATTCATATCTTATTTGACCTAGTTAACATTTATTTATTGATGCATATTTTTTTATATCTCCAGTTTTAAACAATACTTTTGGTTACTGTCCTATACATTGGAATGATTTCAAACCTGTTTTTATTTATCCTAATAATTATGAAGGTGTGCCTTGGAAATACTTGTTTACATAAATTGTGACCAAACCATTTGAGACCCACTGATATAACTTAGACTAAAGTGAACTATCTAAACACTCAGAGTCCTTTACCTCACTGAGCTGTAGTTATCAGCCTCAATCCAACAACAATCCGTGGTACCGATGCATGCATGCACACCCTCTCTCTCTCTCTCTCTCTTGCTCGCTCGGAGGCTAACTCGCACTTTGGCTGTGAGCTGCGGGCGCCTGATGCGTCAACATGCCCAACTTTCATCACTTACAGCGCCCATCATACAGGGCAAATGCAAAATGTTGTCGGCCCGGGGTGCAAAGGGTGTTTACTTTATGCAATTATTAATGTAAATGTATTACATCAAGGGCAGAACATTAGGCAGAATAAAAATGTAAAAAAAAAAAAATGTTATATATTTTTTATTATAATTTTTTTTATCACAGCTCAGTGCCCCTCCAGATCTGGCGCCCTAGGCGACCGCCTAGTTCGCCAGTGCCAAGGGCCGGCCCTGATTATTCTGTTGCTTAGCATCGAATTTAGAACGTGTGATTTGTGGAGAATATTCACAACAACGCTTGACGGAAAGCACTAAAGGTACATTTAAAAAAAAGAGAACAACCCGGAAGAACCTCGTAGTTTATAGTCTAGCAGCAAGTCCTCAAAAAAGGCTTTAGTTTTCGAGATACCCCTACCCGAGGTAGAACAAAACACAACAATGATTTTTCTTATCTTTAGGGTCTCCCATTAATTACATTGATTGTTGTCAAATTTTATTTTGGGGGGAAAAAAGCATTTTGGGTTGTTCTTTAGAACTACCCCAATCCCTGAAAAAGGGCCAAATTAGACCAGGCTGAATGTGGAAAAGGTGACAAAAAAGCCCATAACTTGAGAATGATCACTCTTTTCTTCTTCAGATTTGCTGAGGTATGAACCAGGTGGCTGTCCTACATCACCAAATAGTCAGACAATTATTTACCTAAAAAAATACTGAGTTATAGTAAACTTAGCTTTAGTTTAGACGGAAATTGTACTTTTTGGTGATAGGAACATAGGATTTTTCTATACATTCTCTGAGGCTGCATCTATTGTTGATGCAATTATGAACCTCAGTTCATCCAAGTTTGTGCACATCAGTCCATTTTCCTTTTTCTTTTTTCCATATAGCAGAAGCGCAAATTCTCTTGCGACTGGCAAAGACTCTTCCAAGCTGGCAGAGAGTCCAAAATGGGCCAGATCTTTGAGCTCGCTGAGATGGGTCTTGAGTTTGATGAATGCTGTTGTCTTTCCTATGCTGTACAAACTACTTGTTGTGCCACAGCCAGTGAGTGCATGACATGCTGGTAGACAGCTAGACATGTCCCAAAGCTATAGTCCCAACAAATGTCCCAAACTACAGGAAGTACTTGAGGAGAGGTGGAAACAAGACTGCACTGTGCATGTTTGTGAGCAACATTGTCACTGCTGCCCGACAGAGACTACACTCAGGTGACTCCATCATCTTGGCAGGTGGATTTGACAAAGGCGAGGAGGTGAAGAGCATCTGCACAGCAGGATTCAGCAGTTTGACATCACTACAGTGATCAGGAGGAGGCAGACACAAGGATGGTGCTCCATGCCATACATCTTGCAGAGTCATATTCCCGCATCATTGGAATGAGAGAGAGATATGTCCCCATCAACACCACATGTGAGAAAATTGGAAAATACATGTCTAACTGTCTAGCAGCATGTCATGCACTCACTGGCTGTGGCACAACAAGTAGTTTGTACAGAATAGGAAAGACTCAAGAAGACCCATCTCAGCGAGCTCAAAGATCTGGCCCATTTTGGACTCTGCCTGCTTGGAAGAGTCTTTGCCAGTCGCAAGAGAATTTGCGCTCCTGCTATATGGAAAAAATAAAAAGGAAAATGGACTGATGTGCACAAACTTGGATGAACTGAGGTTCATAATTGCATCAACAACAGATGCAGCCTCGGAAAATATGCCGCCAACAGAGGATGCATTTCAACAACATGTACAAAGAGCAATGTTTCAGACAGCGATATGGTGTCACAGCCTGAACCCAAACCCTTGTTATGGAGTCCTGTTGGCAAGAGGTGGATTGTCAGAGATTCAACCAGTGCTATTTACAAAACCCCCAGCACCTACAGAAGTGAGAGACATTACTCACTTGTATTGCAAAGATGCAAAGTGTGGAGAGAGTGGAAAGTGCCAGTGCCTCTCTGTTGGCCTTTCCTGTACGGAGCTCTGCACCTGCTGTGCACAATGTCAACATGTGTCCCCTAACGTTTCTGAGGAACCTGACATTTAACATTATATTCTAGTATCTATATACTTGACCTCTCACAGAATTATTTGATGATTTGTATAGTGTACTTTGAATTAAGGTTCCAGTTTCAATCATACCTGTACTATTTACACCTATCTTTTAGAGGCTTGCAATTTAGAACTAATACACTTTATTTTATTGGGTTACTCTTATTCTGACTATTTGGTGATGTAGTTCAGCCACCTGGTATTCCCCTCTCCAAATATGATGACCATCAGAGTGAGCATTCTTAACGTATAGGCTATTATGCCACTTATCCCCCATTCAGAATTTGACTGTATCAGAGAAGAGGTAGGCCTATGTCTAAATAAATCAAATTTGCAATAGAACTGTACCAGATATGTCCATACAACTACTGGTTAGTGTTCAATAGCACCCTAGACAATTCAGTAATGGTATATTTTTTTAGGGATCACTGTTTTTCTGAGTCCTATGTTCCTATCACCAAAAAGTACAATTTCCATCTAAACTAAAGCTAAGTTTACAGGACTATAATTCAGTATTTGTTTAGGTAAATAATTGTCTGACTATTTGGTGATACCTGGTTCATACCTCAGCAAATCTGAAGAAGAAAAGAGTGATCATTCTAAAGTTATGGGCTTTTTTGTCACCTTTTCCACATTCTGCCTGGTCTAATTTGGCTCTTTTTCAGGGATTGGGGTAGTTCTAAAGAACAACCCAAAACACTTTTTTTTCCCCAAATAAAATGTGACAACAATCAATTTCATTAATGGGAGACCCTAAAGATAAGAAAAATCATTGTTGTGTTTTGTATCTCAAAATCTGGAGGCTCTTCCTGCTAGACTATTAGTTTTTACATTTCCTAGAACACAATTTGTAAAATGTGGGCCCTCTTTGTTAGACATTTTAAAACTGAAAAAAACTATAGCCTATACAAAATACGACATATCTCAAGTATACAGACCTACAGTCTTCTAAAAAAACAAACAAGTTGTAATTACTTGTCTCTATGCTGCTGTGACAAACAATGTAAATGGTATTTCAGTCTGAATATCATTTGTTTTCACTATACTACAATAAAACATATGGGATGATCTGTCAGCAGTCATTCTAATATAGTAGAATAGAAGCTGGTACTCGTGGAAGTCTTATTACATAAACATAATTTAATTTCCCAGATGATATTTCACTCTTTATAACAGACCTACGACCAGCGTTAGAAGTGTAGTTTCCCAACACTTTAAGCGGAATTCCTCTTAACTTAAGAAATGATCAAACATATAATACCTGCTGGTACTGAAATGTAACTACAGTGGAACAAGTTAGTAACAATTGTATAATGTTACGTATTTTCAGTAAATACTGGGTAAAGAAGGAAAGCGGAAAGTAGAAATGATTGGTAACCAGCACTTATAAGTAAGTATAAGTAATAAGTAATCACTCATGCTCTGAACTTTGATTATGAAATACCTACAAACTACACTAAAGGTTTAGGGCTGCTTTTTAAAGTGTCTTATCCAAAGCCAGATGTGCGTGATGGGATGTAAAACAGATTGTTTTATGTCAGATTTCAAAGATACCTGAGATGTCACACTTTTGATTAAACAGACAATTGTATGCAGACTTGCATGGCAAACAGATGTGTATTGAATTATCTGT